GGCGGAAAACACCGGTAACAGTCACCCTCATCACTAATAGTCACAGCATACATGGCAGCAAGAATAGCATCAAAGTCAAGGTCAAAGACAGCTACACCCGCCCTAGACAGCTCGCCCCAGCGGGGGATCTCAGTGGCCTCAGGGAACTGGTGACACCAAGCGTCCGTCAGGCGGCCAAAGCAGCGCTGGGTGGAGTGCGCACCCCCGCACTGCTCACCCGCGCGGTCGCCGGTGCGTAGGACGTAGGTGCACGGACCAGTACCCCCACCCCGCTGGCGTGCAGCGTACCACTCACGGAGCTGCTGAGGGGGGGGGATGTCACGAGTGCGCTGCTGCCGCTGCTGCTGCTGCTGCTGGCGCTGACCACCACCGGAGCCGACCCTCTGCCCATCGCCACCCCGACCAGCTCCACCTCCTCCGCCGCCGCCTCCTCCACCGCCGCCACCTCCGCCACCTCCGCTCCCACCGCCACCGCCGCCGCCGCCTCCGCCTCCACTGCCGCCACCGACACCTCCACCCCCGCCACCACTCCCACCACCACCCCCACCCCCTCCACTGCCGCCACCGCCACCTCCGCCACCCCCGCCAGCCCCTCCAGCACCCTTGCCCCCCTTGCCCTTGCCGGTGCGGCGTCTCCCGCTCGGGGCAGACGCAGCGCCGACCGACTCGAGACCAACGAGGTCGGCCGCAGCAGCAGAGGCAACAGAGGGCAAAAGGGGGGAGGGGGAACACCCCTCAAAGACGGGGGTGCGAGGGTCACCACGAGAGGCTCCTACAGCGACTATGCTCTTCTCTGCTGCTAGGAGGGCCTTCTCGAGGAGGTCAACGGTGAGAGTGGTGGGGCAAACTGAGAGGAAGTGGTCCCTGACTACACGAAGGGAGTCAGGGAGCCGGGTGACTATGTAGTAGAGGGTGATGTACATGGGGGGGGGGGTTCTTGGCGCAGAACTCAGCAGGAAGCGCAGCGCGGTAGCGAGTGTCACTAGTGCGGAGGTGCGTAATGAGGTCAGCGACTGTGGGAAAGGCAGCAAGGTCAGGGAAGAGGTACGGTAGCATGAGGCGGCTCAGTGCAGCAGTGGCAGGGGAGGAGTAGCGCGCAACTACAGCGTCGTACAAGGTGTGAGCACTCTTGTACTGGCTAAAGTGCGCACGCTCAGAGGTAGGCAGGTGGCGACACACAGCTAGACGTGCAGCAGCATCGCGTGTGGCCCACTGTGAGCGAACAGTGGCGTCGGCATCAGCAGCAGGGGCAGGAGAGGCACCAGAGGTGAGGTCAAAGAGGGAGAGACCGTCTGCCCTATCGCACTGTAAGAAAAGCTGCAGGTCATCTACCCAGACGTCAAAGTCAATGGCCCGACCCTCAGCGTCGAAGGCGAGAACACTAGGGGTAGCCATGACAGCAGTAGACTAGCAGTGTGAACAGTAGGGTAAGGGCAGTGCAGTGATAGAGGCGCTGCTCTTACCAGACAGGGCGGCTCGGGCGGCTCGGCGGCTCGGCGGCTCGGCAGGACGGCGGCTCGGGCGGCTCGGCGGCTCGGGCGGCTCGGGCGGCTCGGGCGGCTCGGCAACTCGGCGGCCCGGGCGGTTCGGCGGTCGGCTGCTCGGCGGCTCGGCGGCTTGGCGGCTCGGCTGCTCGGCTGCAGGACGGCTCGGCGGCTCGGGTGCTCGGCTGCTCGGCGGCTCGGCGGCTGGTGTGGTTGGTGACGACCGCGGCAGCAGTCGCAGAAGCTGTGGCGACTGCTGCTGCAGAGACGGCTGCGGCTGCTGCCTCAGGGACGGCGGCTGCCGGCCGCTAGGGGCCGCGAAGAGCGGTGGAGAGGCCGTGAAGGGCGCCACGAGGGGCCGTCGAGGGCGGCGACAGGCCGTGAGAAGGCCGCGGAAGGCGGCTCGAGGGGCCGCGAGGGGGGGGGCGTAAGGGGCCGACTGGCGACGGGAGGGGCCGAAGGGGCCGCGGGAGGGCCCGTAAGGGTAGCGCGAGGGGCCGTAAGGGCGGCACGAGGGGCCGTAAGGGCGGCACGAGGGGCCGTGAGGGCGGCGCGACGGGCGCGACGGGCCGTAAGGGCGGCACGAGGGGCCGTGAGGGCGGCGCGACGGGCGCGACGGGCCGTAAGGGCGGCGCGACGGGCCGTAAGGGCGGCGCGACGAGCCGTAAGGGCGGCGCTAGGGAGCCGTGAGAGGGCCGCTAAGGGCGACGCGACGGGGCCGTGAGGGGCCTAGCGAGGGCGCGACGGTAGGGAGAGCACACAGGGCGCGACTCGGGCCGGAGCGAAGCGCACTCCGGGCAGAAAAAAAAAAAATCGTGGTGGTGGGCCCTAGGAATCGTTCCCACTAGGGAACCTGCTCGATACCATGAGAAGAAACGAGGAATGAGAATGACTAAGGGAAAGTTGGGTACAAATGTGAACCCTAGAAAACTGTACCCCATATGTGCTACCCCACTATAGCCTACAGTAGCTATGTCATATAAATCTGACACGTGTGCCCGCTGAGGTGGCAGTCCTTCCGGTAAATCATCCGGAAAAATCCCCGGGTATCGTTTCAACAGTTCCTGCAGTTCGGGTGGTACCGCTGCCAGCAGTTTCTGAAAATCACTCGGCTGCTCTGCTTCTCCTATCAATGCTATATCCACTGCGTACACGTCAGCTCCAGCGGCGACAGCCCGTTTCATCGTGACGGCGTTGACGTGGACCGTTGAAGACTCGGGCGACTGCCAGCGAGGTAGCACGACCCAGTTACCGCTACTTCGCACAGTGCAGCTACCCGTCGTCCAGTCAATTCGCGGGTTATACCGTCGCAGCCAATCACGTCCCAGTAGAATGTCGTGCCCATCCAATGTCGTCGCGAGCATTTCCTGTGTAAACCCAAAGTTCCCCCCGCAGCGGACCTTTACTCTCTCCACCTTCTCCCGTATGGCCAGCGGCGTTCCGTCCACTAAGCGTGCATCTATTTCCGGTAAACACCGACTAAGTGTCAGTTGCAGCTTCCGTGCGGTTGCGGTATTAACTAGGCTGTGGCTTGCTCCTCCGTCTATAAAGATCTTTACTGCTGCTCCCTGTATTTTCCCGTAAATCAGTACTGGGCAATCCGTCGCTGTACCCTCCTTATTCATCCGAGCCCGATCGATAGCGTGAATCGGTACTGTGACTCGGTGAGGGTCGGTGCGGTTGGGCGAGCAGGCGGTCTCGTCAGTAGTTGGCCCAACTTCTACTGACTGCTGGCGTTTCCCTGCCTCTGAGACTCCCTCCCCTGCTCTGCTCCGCGGCGTCTCAGCTCCTCTGGGCATTCGCTCTTGCGATGGCCCGGCCTGTTGCAAGCAAAGCAGCGCCCCTTAAACGGCGCAGCAGCTGCATTTGTCGCAACGGCGTGTACAGTGGCGTGCTCGGTCGGTCCCTGAGGACAATGTCCGTAGTAGGACCCCGGTCTCGGTCGGCGTAGAATGTCGATTTTCTCGGCGAGCGCGAGAATCTCGTTGAAGTTCGAGAGTCCGCGCAGCATGATCTCGTGCGAGATATCCGGCTTCAGCCCTCCAACGTAACGGTCCACCCGCTCCGCTTCGTGCATGTAGCCGACTTGCTGGCAAAGTGCGAGAAAACCGCTCGTGTAATCTTGAACCGACCCGAGCTGCCGCCAAGTGCGCAACCTCTGACGCGCCGAAATAGAAGCCGCGATTGGCTCGAAGCGCGCCCGAAGCCCTGCGCACCACGCATCCCACGTGCTGTATTGGGCGGTCTCGCAAAAAGAACTCCAGGTGACAGCTGGACCCGTGGGCCCTTCCTCTTGCGACGGTGGCTCGTAGGCGCGTGGCGACGTCACGATGACTCGCCACCAGTCCATGGCGGGGCCCCTTAGCAGCGAAACGGCATACCGAATCTTCGCTGCGTCCGACTCGACGTAGTTCGCGTCGAAGAAGACGTTCATCGTGAAGACCCACGATTGAACCGTCGGACCTCCACGCTGGCTCGGGTCGAAGCAGGGCGGGCGTTGCGGCTTGAGTGGCATTGGTGCCATAATGGCCTGTCCGCCATTTGTCGCTGCAAACTCCACGTGCCGACGGGCTTCGCGAGGTTCCCGCGGGCTTGGCGCAACCCTGTTTCCTCCCATGCCAGGCATTGGCTGGGCGGCGCTATCACTGGCTGCACCTGAGCGCTGTCCCACGCTGTCGTGCTGTGTTGGTGTACCGGACGAGATGATGATTGGCTCGTCCGATTGTGCAGGTGCATTTGTTGGTGCGTGTGGTGCTGCTGGAGTGTTCACCGAAGACTTCTGACGCGCGGAGTCACGCTCCGCCGTGAGCGTCGCAATTTCGAGTGCCGAATCTTCAACTTGGCGCACCAGACGGTCGAGCTGCTCCTGCGTCAAGGTCGCGAGATTGAATTCGGCCATGGTGGGGGTGTCGGGCAAGCTCAGCGAGAGCCTCGGTCGTGGCCGTGCGTGCTTACGAGAGAGCACTACAAGCGGCGGTGCTGTGTCGCTGAGAGACGTCTACCCCCCCCCAAAAATTGAGATAGTGGGGAAGCGAAGGTGTGGGTGCGGTCCGAGAAGAGATCGTAGGCTCTGAATACCAAGTGTTACGAGTGCAATTGAGTGAGCGAACGAGAACTGCACTATCGAAGCAAGAGTACAATGAGCGAAGGCATGAGCGAAGAATATATAGCGAAACTACAGTGGTAACGGTAATGTGTGGAAAATGGGGTGCGCGACGGGCCTGGTGCCGAGGTTGGGAAAGTGTCGAGGCGGAGGTCCGGAGCGCGGGTTACCAACCGAACCGTGAGGTTGGGTCGCGTCGTGAATGGTGGCGGGAATGGTGTCGAAGCGAGTGTCGCGAGTGGTAACGGATTACTGTTGGGTGCTGTGGGTGGGAACAGTGGTGTACGCGCTGAGCAGGGACGCGAAGTAAGGAAAAGGAATTTTCCTTACACTCGTTAGCTGGTTTGGCTCTCGCTACGTTTTTTGGCTTTCGCCAACCATGTTAAAGCCATTATTCGATTTTCCAAAAAACCATGCTGACCTCGGGCTTTAAACGCCCAACGAGTAAGGCTACAGTGGTATACTCAAACGAGAATCATGTGTACTATGCTTCCCTCGGTTGGTTCCCGTTCATCCCTAGTTACAGACTATTCATCCTCTCACAGACTGTCCATTCCGTCACCCACGCTCACATTTTCTCGCCCTCCTTCTCGCCCTCCCTCTCACCCTCCTTCTCGCCCTCCCTCTCACCCTCCTTCTCGCCCTCCCTCTCACCCTCCTTCTCGCCCTCCCTCTCGCTCCTGCACAAGTCTAGTCAACCGCCCCCTTGGTAATTTCTATCTCACGCGTGTCTCGCAGCCTCTGTCCCGTACGAAACGGCTACCACGACCAACGTGAGGATCTTCAAAGTCGCCGCTGCATTCGTTCTGCGCACTGTACAGTATCATAGATTCTCTTCTACGCGGTGTAATGTTCGCAGGCTCCCTCGCATCGCATCCCATCGATCGTGCATGCAGAAACGCCATTCGTCAGCGTAGCAACCGGCCAATCGCGTCCACCCACCATGACGAAAACGACCATCGATATGGCGATCGCAATGTCAACCGGCGGCGAGCAGAGGCGAGCGACGTGGGGCTGCTGCGAGCGAATCCCTCCCTGGCGCGGCGAGCTAAATCCCCCCGTCTACCGGCATCATCGCCGAGTATTTACCTTGAGTTGCTCCTGCAGCATTTCATTCATCGAGGTATCTGCGGACGGACCCACGCAGATAGCACCTTCTACTCAGCAGCCACTGCCGTGAGCTGTAGTACTAGATCTCACAGCTACTACTCTCCTTGGCGGGGAAATAGGTCTTCACATTCTAAGACTTGGCAAGTCTCGGCTGATCTACTATTCGCGCTCTCCCGAGCTGGGATACCCTGAGCTGTCGCTGTTTCTCTCACCCATCATCACGCCGCGTCGGGGTCCAGCTCACGCGGCATCGTCGCGCTTCGGCGCGCGCCTCGGAGACGCTCAGGCCTCGAAGTCTCCTGACTTCTTCTAGCAGCGGCGTTGCTACCGGCGGCGCCGGTGGGAGCTACTACGACGAGAACGTCATCCGACGGTGATAAGCGAAAATAGCATCATCCGACGGTGATCAGCGAAAATAGCATCATCCGACGGTGTGACGCATCATCATGGTTCCCGCGGTGGGTTACGTCACCGCTGCTGATGGTACTGCTACTCCAAATGACATTAGGAGTCCGAAACGCAATAATGCGACTCGGAGCCGCTCTTGTTCTGCGGGTGATACTGTACCCCACATTGAGTTATCCCTTTCCAGCATCGGCGCAGGCGGCGGCGCGGGCGGTGGCGCGATGAACTCGCCGACTCCACCCCGTCCCCACACCGACAGAAGCAGCGGCGGCGATGCTATCCGTCGATCTGCCACCAGTGGCGCGGCGCCGTCGCGTCCGCGCACCGCTGAATTTTGCAGCATCGAAAGCGGAACCATGACTCGCACGACGCCACCGTCAGCGGCGGAGATCAGCGCGGCGGCGTCCCCCGGGCTTCCGCCACTGCTTTTCGAAGCCGCGCCGCGCAGCCCGCACGTCGCCGCTGGGGACGTCGTTCCGCGGAAGGCGCGCGGACTGACGGTGCCTAATCTCGTGATTCGGGAGGACTCCCCTCGCGGAGCCGCCGGTTTTGCGGCGGTGGTGGCGGCTTCCGCCGCCGTGCGCAGCCCGCACGCGGAAGCTGTTCGGCGGAAAGCCGCGTCGTCGCTCGAGATGGACGTGGAGTGGCGCGACGAAGCGCTGGCGCCTTTCGCCGCGGAGCCTGCGATCCGCGCGCGCCCCTCGGCAAGCACAAGCGAAGGCGGAAGCCGCAACTCTACGGAAGGCGCACGCGGAACCTCAGGCGACGAGGGCGCAAAGGATCATCGGGAGCCAGTCGCGGCCGCAGCGGAAAGCAGCGCCGCCTCCGCGGAAAGCGGTTCCGCCGCCGGCGGAGGCGGTTACTCGTCTGACGACAGCAGCCTTGGCGGGGGGGACGTTGCCGGCGGTTGCTTCCCCCTCTTGCGCTTCGGCCACCACGGAGGGAAGCATGCAGCGGCGACCGCGCGCAAGATACTTACCGCCGCAGCCGGTTCCGCGGCGGCCACAGGTGTTCCGCCGCCTGCGCGCGGCGGACCTTCCGCAGGCCACTTCCGCGTGCGCGGCGGCGGCGGGTCGCGGTCGCACTCGGACGAGAGATCTCCTCGCGAGACGAGCCGCACTGGCGATGGCGGTTTAGCAGTAGCGAGGGCGGTAGCGGCAGCAGCAACAGCAGCAGCAGGAACAACGGCAAAAGCGGCGGCGCAGGCGATGGTAGTAGAAGTAGCGGCGGCGGCACTGGCGGTTGTAGAATCACTGGCGAAGCAGCAGCAACAACAGCAGCAGTCGCACTGTCCGCTCGGCAAAATCCTTCTCCCCCTTCCCCCGGCGCTTCCCCCAGTGCCGCCCGTAGCTCTTCCGCCTCGAATCAGTTTCCCACCGCCGACGCGTCGTCCCCTCGCCGTCCGCGGGTGTATATCGAGGCTCCGCAGCAGCCTCAGCAGCAGCAAAATTCTTCTCCGCGCCAGCCGCCCCATTCCCCCCATCCGCCCCATTCCCCCCATCCGCCTCATACGCCGCATCCGCCCGCGACGCCCTCGCCTCGTCACGCGCCATCCCCCCGCGCTGGACTGACCCGTCATGTCGCGTCGTCGCCTCGATTGAACCAACTCCCCTTCTCCTCCTCTCCGCGTGCCTCCACTGGTCCCCCTGGTCCCAATCATCCGCATTCGCAGGATCATCGTCTCAATCATAATAACAATCATCATCGCACCGCCCGCAGAGCCGCGTCTGTTTCGGAGCGCGATTTCCAGGCCTTCAAAGCGTTAGAGGCTTTCGAAGCAAGCGTTAGCAATCACCATCGCGCCGAGCGCACTGTTAGTACGAGTGGCAGTCGTCACCGCACCGCCCGTTGAGCAGGCTCCGTGATAGAACGCGATTCCGGGGCTTTCGAAGCATTCGATGCGTTAGGGGGTTCAGAGGCAAGCTTTACCAACAATCGCACTGAGCACAGTCATCATCGCACCGCCCGTCGACCAGGCTCCGTGATAGAGCGCGATTCCAAAGCGCTAGGGAGTTTAGAAGCAAGCTCTAGCAACCACCGCACCGCCCCTAGAGCAGGCTCCGTGACAGAGCGCGATTTACGGACTTTCAAAGCCTTTGAGGCGAGTTCGCTCGAGGCAGGTTCTCGCAGGTATGATGCGAGGTTGGCTTGCAAGCCGCACAGATCTGGGTCCGCCACAGAACCCGCCACTCCCCCTTCCGCCACTCCCCCTTCCGCCACTCCCCCTTCCCCCACTCCCCCTTCCCCCACTTCCCCTTCCGCCACTCACCTTTCCGCCATAACTCGTTCCAAGTCCGCCCCCGGGAGCGTCCGCAGCTGTCCCCCAAGCAAAACTCCTGCCACATCCCCTTCCCCCTCCTTTTCTCTCTCCCCTTCCCGCTCTCCTTCCCTCAACCTTTCCCCACCCACCCTACCCCCCCCGACCTCCCCCCGTGCGGCCCTGCCTTCTCTTTCCCCCTTGCCATTCCGCCAACACAAGCCCCCCCCGTCCGGCTTCCCCCGTCCCCCACCCCTTACCACACCCGAGACTCAAACAGACCCTTCCACCTCTTCCCCCCATTCCCCCACCTTCCCCTGTCTCATCCCCACTGAGCCCTTCCCCAATCTCCCCCCCATCTCCCCATCCAAGCCCCCCCGCTTCCCCACGCGTTCCCCCAGAATCTCCCCCTCTTCCTCCATCGGAGCCCCCTATCCTGCTGCTGACAATCCAGGAGGGGAGAGGCTGGGGGAAGAAGGAGAGTTAGTGCTGCTGCAGAGCCCAACCCTCTTCCCCGCACGTTCCCCCAGAATCTCCCCCTCTTCCTCCATCGGAGCCCCCTATCCTGCTGCTGACAATCCAGGAGGGGAGAGGCTGGGGGAAGAGGGAGAGTTAGTGCTGCTGCAGAGCCCAAACCTGAGGGATGGGTTCGGCAGGGGAGAGAGGGGCGGCTTTAACTTTCTTTCCTTGGATTCTGCCGCGCCTCAGGAAGGGAAATTCCGGGATCTGCGTGGAAACGAGAGTGGGAGAGAGGGGGTTGACAGTGGTGGTGGTGGGGGGCGAAGGGAGGGACTTAAACCCCGGGCCCACTCGTCGGTGTTCCGGCCTCTCTCAGTCACAGGCAGTCCGAGAGTGGAGCAAGTTGCACAACCACAGTTGATAGGGATGCACCAAGATGCACAGAGGTTTACAGGGATGCACCAAGATGCACAGCGGCTGATAAGTATTGACCAAGGCACGCGGCACTTTACAAGGTCGCATGTTGGGACGTCTCAATACATAAGAACGGCCGTGGACACGCGGCACTTTACAAGGTCGCAGAGTGATGGCTGCATCCCACTGCAAGGCACACAAACCGGAAGCCCGGATGAGATGTTAGGAGCCGGGGCAAATGCAAGGCATGGTGGTGAGGCGGGAGGGAGAGCTGGAAGGACGCAGGAAGGAGGTGCGGATGGGCATGGTTCAGCAGAAACAGAGGGCCCCTTTCCTCCCAAGAGCCCTGTGAAATCGTGTTTATCGCTTGGGGGTGAGAGCGGGAGTGGGAGTGGGTTGGGAGGGAGAGGCAGGCTGAAGAAGCAGGTCTCATTCAACAAGGTGGTGCGTGTGAGGCGGTTTCACTCGTGCGAAGCTTTTCCGGACTTTGGCCTTGGTTGACGTATGGTGACAATGCGCGTTCGGACAGTACGGAGCTTCTTGTTGAGATGTCAAATTGCACTCCCTGGAAGCATTTATTGTAGAAAAATACATGTGCAAGGATGTAAGCAAGTATGCTGTCTTGCTGGCCGAATGCTTGATGAAGTGTTTAAATGCTTGATGATGGTTTTTAAGGAGGGAAATTGCTTGATGGAGTGTTTAGATGGATGGCTTATCGAACACCGTACCGTACCGTATCGAGCTAAAACGTTAGCACCCCCAACCTTCCGCCCCTTCCACACCTCACCCGCCCAACCCGCACCCCCTGCTCGCCGCCCCACTACTGTATCACCACTAGCGCCACTTCCAACCCATCCGAACCGATCTTTATCCATTGTTTCAAAATTTACATCCTCCATCTCGTCCCACCTCTTGGCGCTGTTCTGTAGGCGTTAAATTTTCAAAAAACTGGGTCCGCAGAATCTTCGTTGATTAGTGGTCTTCTGCCTATCAAGGTTTGGTGATAAGAAAGGTCCTGCCGAACCTGTTTGCGCCAAATTTAACGCTTCAGCCTGCAGAACGCCACTTTTGGGGCGCACGAATTTAACCGTCTGCAGGTTCCAAGTTGTTGCTTCGCCGGGCAAATGGTCGCACAACTAGTGCGGCGCTAGTTCTACCTCGGGAGCTAGCATCAGCCTCCGCACATGTTATGCGAGGCAGCAACATCCGCGCAACGCAACCAGCATGAATGCGCCTAGAAAATGCACGGAAGGCTACCGCGGTCAAATTGGTGCGGAACCCTAAACGCCTGCAGAACAACGCCCTTCTCTCTCTCCCTATCGTGTTCCCTGTCGCCGCATTCCAGAAATATCTTCCCCATCCGCATTTACCTCTGGACTACAAATCAGTCCATTCCTTGCCACTCTGGCTCTCACGTTCAGCCACCAGTTCACCTCTATTTCATCAGCTCTTCATCTGGAGAAAACTGCTTGTCTCGCAGCCTCTGTCTCGAACGAAACCAGCTACAACGTGCGGCTCTTTGAGTCGCCTCGCCGCTGTACTCCTTGTGTTTCAACGCATCTGCCGCGCATCGCATCCGATCCGTGTCACGCCATTCGTTAGCTTAGTCAGCAGCCAATCCCGTCGTCGTGCCACACAATGTCAACGGCAATTGTCAACGGCGGGCGGGCGGCGTGCAGCTGCCATGACGGGTGGCAATTGCAGCAACCGCCGACGGGGCCTCTCCGAGCATTTACTCCGAGTAATACCTGTTACCGCCGACTGTTTACCTCCAGTTGCTTCGGCATACCGTTCATCTTGAGACTTCCTGGCGGAACTACGCAGGCAGAAATATTGTAGGCTGCAGTGAGTAGCACTCTAAGGAGTACAACACTCTTAGGGTTTCTATTTGTATGCTTTGCTCTCCTAAGTCAAACATTCCGTTGCATTCACTTTCTGAGATGGTATCACGAGTAGGTTTAGAATCCTTGCCTAGCCTAGCCTACCTCGCGCCCTCCACGCCCTAGAGCGTCTCCGCGCCTTACGCGCCCTCCGTCACGTGCCCTCGCACCCTCCGCGCCCTTGCGCCCTCCGCGCTCTAGAGCGCCTCCGCGCCTTACGCGCCCTCCTCCACGCGCCCTAGCGCCCTCCGCGCCCTAGCCTCGAGTAACGCGGCCTCCGCGCCCTCCGCGCCATCCGCGCCCTCCGTAACGCGCCCTCCGCGCCCTCCGTAACGCGCCATCCGCGCCTCCGCGCCTAGCCCTCCCCTACGCGCCCTCCACGCCCTCCGTATCGCGCCTCCGCCCCAGCCCGTCGCGTAACCCGTGGCCCCTGCCCCAGCCCGTCGCGTCGCCCGTGCGCCCTGCCCTAACCTGTCACGTACGGATCTCTTGGCTTGCGTGTACCTAGCTTAGGACCTTTGCCTGTTGCTAGTGTAGGTACTTGTGCTTTTAGTGTAGGTGCTTGTGTAGTCACTAGCCCAGCCGTGACGACTGCTGTTGCGTCGCTCTCCTTCACGCTGGACTCCGGCGCGTCCCAGTGCTTCTTTCGCGACCACACCACTGTCACACCTCTTTCGGCTCCAGTCCCAGTTGCACTGGCTGATCCTACTTCAGGACCAGCAGTTGCTCGCAGCTCGACCACTCTCCCGTGCCCAGCTGTCCCCTCTGGTTTCCTCACTGGTCTCTATATCCCCTCGTTCTCTCGGAACTTGGTGGGTGTTGGATACCTTCAGGACCGGGGGATCACAGTCACTTTTCCAGCGCACGGGAGGACTGCGATCTGTACGGACTCTTCCACCGGGGCAGTTCTTGCCACGTTCACCAGAGAGCCCCACTCAGGTCTCTTCGTCCTGCACACTCCGCCCCCGCAGGTAGCTGCGTCTGGTCAGGTTACTGCGTCCCCACCGGTTGCTGTGTCCGGTCAGGTTGCTGTGTCCGGTCAGGTTGCTGTGTCCGGTCTAGTTGCTGCGTCTTGCTCGTGCCGGTCTTTCACCCATCGGACCGTCTTGTGGCACCACCGTCTTGGCCACGCGTCGATCCCCCGCCTCCGCACTATGGCTAGTCACCGTCTTGTCTCAGGTCTCCCTCGCGTCTTCCCGTCGCTCCCTCCCTCGCCCGCGCCGCCGTGCACTCCTTGCGTCGCTGGCCGTCTTCGTGCCAATCCGCACTCCTCCTCCCTTCGTCCGGCCACTGCTCCCTTCCAGACACTCCACTTGGATGTCTGGGGCCCTGCACCTACGCAGGGACCTGAGAGGGAGCGCTACTTTTTGGTGGTCGTCGACGACTTCTCCAGGTACACCACGGTGTTTCCTCTCGCGAAGAAGTCCGAGGTGACTTCTACGCTGATCCGGTGGCTTCTAGCCACTGAGGGCACTCGTGGCCGTCGTGTCTCCTGTCTCCACTCTGACCGTGGGGGTGAGTTTCGCTCAGGCATTCTTCCCGGATTCTGCGGCGAGCAGGGCATTGTACAGTCCTGGACGCTGCCGGAGTCCCCACAGTAGAATGGGGTTGCTGAGCGCCGCATTGGCTTGGTCATGGACATCGCCCGCACGTCCATGATTCATGCCCGTGCGCCCCATTTTCTGTGGCCCTACGCGGTTCGCTACGCCGCTCACCAGCTGAACCTTCAGCCGCGCGTCTCGCGGCCAGAGGCTTCACCGACCAGTCTTTGGACCGGGTCCCCTGGAGTTGGGTCAGCTTTTCGAGTCTGGGGCTGCCTTGCGCTTGTCCGCGACACCTCTGCGGACAAGCTCTCGGCTCGCGCCGTCCCCTGTGTCTTCCTTGGTTTCCCGGTAGCCTCGGCCGACTCGTCCTTTTACCACCCGCCCCTCCACCAGTTCCTAGACTCCCGTGACGTCCGGTTCGACGAGTCAGTGTCCTACTACACCAGGTACCCCTGTCGAGGTCTCCCTGTTCCCCTTCCCCCCCTTTTCCTCGCACCCTCTCTTCCCCCTGCTCCCGCTCCTCCGGTACCCCCACCCCCCCCTGGTCCTGCCCCGTCAGGTGTGTCTCACGCTACCCCTCTACCCTCGGTCGCGCGTCAGGTAGCGGCTCCCTCCCCGCAGTCCTCCTCACAATCCCCTCAGCAGCCTTCGGTACTTCCGCGACAGGCTACTGTGGACTCGGTTGGTTTTGGAGCGGGAGGTGCAGCCACTGGCGGTACTCGGTCCGGGGGTGCTCGTTTGAGGGGTGCTGGAGTTGGAGGTGCTGGCGCAGGTGGCGCTAGCCCTTGGGGTGCTGGAGCTGGAGGTCCTGGCACTGGAGGTGCTAGTCCTGGGGGTGCTGGAGCTGGAGGTGCTGGCGCAGGTGGCGCTAGCTCTGGGGGTGCTGGAGCTGGAGGTGCTAGTTCTGGGGGTGCTGGAGTTGGAGGTCCTGGCACTGGCGGTACTAGTTCTGGGGGTGCTGGAGCTGGAGGTGCTGGCACAGGAGGTACTGGTTCTGGGGGTGCTGGTGCTGGAGGCGCTGGCACTGGAGGTGCTGGTTCTGAGGAGACTGGAGCAGGAGACACTGGTTCTGCGGAGTCCACTCCGCCTCCCCACCACCACGACACACGTCTCCAGGCTGCCCGTCGGCGTGAGCGTGAGGAGCAGGTGCTGTTGGAGAGGGAGCGGCAGGAGTTGCGGCAGTTGGACCTGCTGGAGCAGCAGCAGCAGCAGCAGCGGCGGCGGCGGCGGCAGCAGCAGCAGCCGCAGCAGCAGCAGACACCGCCGCCGCAGCTTTGACCACAGCAGCTCCCTCTGGAGCGGCAGTTGTTCCCACCCGTGAGTGGCCTTCGGGCCCTTGGTCTTCCCTCCTCTCCTCCTGTTCACACTCCGTCCCCTCCAGCGTTTGGTCCCACGTTTCCTCCTCCTGACGCCAGTCCGGCGGTCTGGTCTTCTCCTCCACCGCAGTCTCCTCCACCTGGTGTCCCGCACTCTCGTGTCCGTCCCTGTCCTCCGCGTGCTCGTCCTTCGTCTCCCGTTACCGACCTCCGCACTGCCCTCCTTTGTTCGTCTCTTCGTCGTCCTCCTCCTGAGTCCGTTCTCCCATGTCCACCTCCGTCCTCTCTCCCTTTCCCCCCTACTCCTGTCACTGACTACTACCGCGCTGTTCGTCCTGTTGTCTCTCGTGTCCTCGCCACTCTTGTCATCGACTCTCGTTTCCCTCCGTCGTCTGTCTCGTCCCTCACTGCCGCTGTCGCTGAGTTTGCTGCCGCCAGTCGCCTTGACTACACCACCTGTGTGGTGCCAGCTCCTCCCTCCCGTCCTCTGTCCGTCGGGGGTGGGTTTGCCCTTGGCTGTGACGTCCTAGAGGACAGAGAGTCTGAGCTGGAGTACTGGGCAGCCGCTTCTCCCTCTGTCTGTGCCATGCTGCTATCCCCTGAGGGAGACCCCGACGCCCTTGACATACCGACTCCTCGCACTTACCGCGAGGCAGTGTCAGGGGCGTGGGCCTCTCAGTGGAAAGCGGCTATGGCCTCGGAGTTAGCGTCTTGGAGATCCACAGGCACCTACGTCGACGCAGTTCCCCCTCCCAGGGCGAACGTAGTCGATGGCATGTGGCTCTTCAAGGTGAAGCGGCCGCCTGGTTCACCGCATGTGTTCAAGGCGCGCTACGTGGCTAGGGGTTTCAGTCAGCGTGAGGGAGTTGACTTCTTCCAGACCTTCGCCCCGACCCCGAAGATGACTACTCTTCGGGTGTTACTGCACGTAGCAGCACATCGAGACTACGAGCTGCACTCCCTTGACTTCTCTACTGCATTTCTCCAGGGCCGACTACACGAGGAGATCTGGCTGCGCCGCCCTCCTGGCTTCACTGACACCTTCCCACCTGGGACCCAGTGGAGCCTGAGACGGCCAGTCTACGGTCTCCGCCAGTCGCCCCGTGAGTGGCACGACACTCTTCGCTCCACGCTTCGTGACCTTGGGTTTTGTCCTTCCTCTGCCGACCCGTCGCTGTTTGTTCGCACTGGTTCCACTCCTTTCTTTATACTAGTGTACGTCGACGACTTGGTCTTTGCCACAGCAGACAGGGCAGCTCTGGCTCAGGTGAAGTCTGAACTGCAGAAGAGACACACGTGCACTGACCTAGGTGAACTGCAGCGCTACCTTGGCCTGCAGATCACCAGGGACAGAGCCGCTCGCACCATCACACTGACGCAGTCACACATGGTGCAGCAGGTCCTTCGGCGGTTCGACTTCCAGTTCTCCACCACATAGCACACACCTCTTGCTGTTGACCACAGACTCACTGGCCCCTTTCCCGACGAGCCTTTTGAGCCCAGTGGTCCCTACGCAGAGCTGGTGGGCTGCCTCATGTACCTGATGACTTGTACTCGGCCGGACCTCGCCTTTCCCCTCAGCATCCTCTCTCGCTTTGTTGCGACTGGGAGACACCGTCCTGTCCACTGGACAGCTGCTGTGAGGGTGGCGAAGTACCTGGCGACTACATCAGGCATGGGGCTTGTGCTTGGAGGGACTCAGCCAGTGGCGTTGACTGGTCACTGCGACTCTTCCTACGCTGACGACGTGGAGACTCAGCGCTCGACTCAGGGTTACTGCTTCAGTCTGGGAGCTGGTGTTGTGTCGTGGAGGTCTACACGGTCGTCGTCTGTGGCTACTTCCAGTGCAGAGGCAGAGATCTACGCTGGTGCCATGGCGGCACAGGAGCTTCGCTGGTTGACCTTCTTGCTCGCCGACCTTGGTGAGCGGCCTCGCTCTGCACCGACCTTGTACGCTGACAACAAGGCCATGATCCTCCTCTGTCGAGAGCCTCGACTGGAGAGCAGAGTGAAACATATTGACGTGAGGTACTTCCTGCGAGAGCTGCAGCGACGCGGCCAGGCACGCCTGGACTTTGTGGCCTCAGAGGCCAACACTGCAGACGTCTTCACCAAGGCCTTGGCGCTTGGTGATCACCACAGGTTTTGTGTGCAGTTGGGGCTTGTTGAGGTAGGCCCTCGGTTGCTGTAGTCTTGTTGCTTGCTCTGCTTGTTGTGTTTTCATATATATATCCTAGTGAACTCTTGAACTGGCCTTGTGGCCGCTTGCTTGCGCTCGGAATTTGTGTGGTGTCCTTGAGATCCACCCTGAGCTTGCCTTGTTTCTTGCTTTGACTGGTCTTGTGACTGTTTGTTCACCATGCTTGCTTTGATGCCCCTCACTTAGCCTACGGGGGTGTGTCAAATGTTGTTATTGGTTGTAGGCTGCAGTGAGTAGCATTCTAAGGAGTACAACACTCTTAGGGTTTCTATTTGTATGCTTTGCTCTCCTAAGTCAAACATTCCGTTGCATTCACTTTCTGAGACTTTGACACACCCCGTAAGCTAGGTAAGGGGCAGTGTAAAAAAGTGAAAACAAACTCAGGGTGCCACTTCTAGTCCATCCACTGAGGCATGCAATCACAAGGCCAGTCAACGACAATCAACATAGTATGAGATACGGTACAACTTAGGGTGGCAATACTAGTCCAGCCACCAAGTACAATACAAGATACAGAGATCAAGGTTCTATCAGGTGAGGCCCCCGCTAGGACAAGGCTAGGCTATGTGCATAGCCGCTGATCATCACGAGGCTGGAGTGCCTTGGTCACGACGATGTCAGCGGTGTTAGCCCCTCAGGCCAAGTATACTAGACAGGCCTGACCGCGCTGCTTCAACTCACGCAGCAGCTTGATGTGCTTCAGTCTAGGCTCCTGATACAGCTTGAAACCACACGTGCCAACTATAATCACAAGTTCCATACAATATTACAGTTCACGAATCATGAGACAAACAAAGTACACGGACACATAGTATCAACATTAATTTTCTCTAACTCGTCTTACGATACTTTGGAGGAAAAAATGCAACTGATCGTGGCCGCACAGGAGAGATGTGGACAAAAGGAACTGTGCCAGCCGGGAATCGAACCCGGGTCTGCACCGAGCTTATGGCAGGGTGCTATTCTACCACTAGACCACTGGCACGCTAGATGAAAAAGTAAGCAGCATACTTTTTATATAACAGCTTTTTTTAAAGCAAGACAATCTGCCTTTCAAAGTTCTCAACGTGACACTCTATAGCCATTACTGCTGCGTCACTTCCGTCGGCCGATGGTTGGTGAGAAAACAATCTAATCACTGCCAGTGTAATTTGATCCGCTTCAGCAGATCCTCAATGGGACACCCCATTGTCATTACTGCTTCGTCATCTGGTGGTTGGTGGAAAAACAGTCACTCCAACCACTGCCTTCATTCATTTACCCGCTTCAGCAGGTCCTCAATCTGACACTCCATTGCCATCACTGCTGAGTCGTCTAACGTGGCCTGATCACTGACAGATGCGGAAAAATGGGCGTTTCCAGAGATTGGAGAGGGGGGAATAAGATTTGGAAAAGAGGGAAACGGAGGAAGGAAATGATGAATGGGTGAGCCAGTAATTGCCGCATCATCTACCATTGCTTGATTACTTACAGATGAGCAAATAGAGGTAGTTCTACAGGTGGGACAGAGTGGGAGAGAGGGGATGGGGGATGGGGGACAGGGGAAGGAGGCAAAGGGAGGAAGGCAGGATGAGTCAGTGGCTATACAAATGGGAGCAGGCGTCCGCTGTTTGCAGCATGGCAGGACAACACGACTTATTATACATGTTAAAACAAGGGATCCACTGGCTCACCAAGACTCAGCAAGACTCAGCACGATGCGGGAACACAAGGTGTGACTTCTAAGGTGCCTCTGAAATCAATGGCTCCAATGGCACACCAAGATTTGTTTTGCAGACGTCTCAAAACAAATTTACTAGAACGTGGCAAAACAAGGGCCCCAATGGCACACTACAATTCAGCAAGACTCAGCAGCAGGATGCAGCAACACATGGTGTGTGCACTAACCAACGGTTCCAATTCCGCGCACACAAACAGAGCTCTCCCCACATGCAGAGCTCTCCCCACATGCAGAGCTCTCAACCACATACAGCCCACGTACAGTACGACTCAGCAACATGGCATTCACACCTACTGAGGACTGAAAGGCCACACCTGTTGTGTATCGGCTCATGATCCAGAGCTGAGCGCACCTTTCTTTAAGGCTAAGTGCCAAGCAAGGGAGTCAAGGCCGCACCTGTTGCGTATGGGTTCATGGTCCAGTGCTGAGCGCACGACATACAGAGCTCTCCCCACCATGTTCTTCACGTGCACGGGACCAAGAGTGCGGCTGTCAAGGGCCTCCTGGGAGAGAGGAGAGAGGGATAGGGAAGGAAAAGAGATCGGGGGCGCACGTGCAGGTTCACCGATCTGCAGCGCGATCCGCTCTGCTGCATCGGAAGCCTCCGATTGATCCATTTTCTGTCCACATAATCACGAGCTACGTGTGATCGTTCCACCAGAATCGAGCGCACTGTGTGTCATGATTTACAGGAGAATCGGATTGCAACGCGCTGTATGTCGTGATTTACGCACAGCACGATTTCAGGAACGCTATTCTGTGAAAAAATGCCAAAATATGCACGGGCTGACCGAAAAAAACAAACCCTAAACTCTAAGATTGAGTTCGCGAAGTGGAGGACTCAAATTTGAGTCTCGCACATCACGATTTCAGCCCCAAATTTGCACTTCGAACTCGAAGTGCATAATTCCCTCCCCTCCATCGCTTGACAAACCTCTCCACCCCCATCCATTCCCAATCCCCTCCACTTCGTTGTCGAGTGCAGGAATCTCCACCAACCAGACTCTAGTTTCCCAGCATAAAAACGAGCATTTCCTTCACTCGATACTCGTCCCCTTCAAGTCTCCTCTGCCATTCCCTCTCTCCTCGATGCAGAGGTGCGCTCAGTAGTTCCGCGTTAGATCTACGCACAAATTCCGCATTTTTGAAGTGACGGTTTGCACCTCGTCCAACCCCAAATCTTTACATCCTGCCCGGGCAAAAAGTTTTACCTGCCCGGACAAGCGAACTTGGTGCGTTACCGAACCCCCCCTCAGTCAACGTTTTGCATATATATACGGTAACGAAAATACGCTGGCGTACAAAACGTAGTACGCGCATTTTCCAACATAGCCTTTGCAGGAACAGCTAGGTTATCAGCAAGCACCCAGAACTGGTCCTCTTTCTTGTGGGTTGGTTTTGAGAATTCACAAGACCAACCTGTTGCCTTTCCAAACACCCTTGTACACACCTTTGCAGGAACAGCTGGATTATCAGCAAGCACCCAGAACTGGTCCTTCACTATCCGAAAAGGCTCATCCGACGGCCGAGATGACACCATCTCGTCTCCAGGAATGGCTGCGACTCGTCGAAAGATGATTGGAAATGTACTGGGTGCTGCTCTCGCTTCGGCAGTGGCTTCTGAGAAGGAACTGGCTGGTTCAGCACCCGCAGCAGCAGGAGTAGCAGAAGCAGGAGTAGCAGAAGCAGGAGAAGGAGCGGGAGAAGCAGGAGAAGCAGAGGCAGCAGGAGAAGCAGAAGCAGGAGAAGCAGAGGCAGCAGGAGAAGCAGAAGCAGGAGAAGCAGGAGAAGCAGAAGCAGGGGAAGCAGAAGCAGACGCAGCAGAAACACGTGTGGGGTCGACTCGGAACCCCACCACATCTCCAACGGAAACGGTGCTGCCATGGGGGAGAGCCAGGGGACAATGAGTGAGACGGGCCAATACGAAACACGGGGATATTTAGATCGACTCAAAAGAAACCCGCGTGGGGATTACTTGGAACCCCACCACGTCTTCAACAGAAAAGGCACTGGCATGGGGAGAACCAGGGGGGGGATTGGGAAGGGTTCAGAAGAAGAGGGGGCACTTGTGAGTCGGCTCAAAAGAACCACGTGCTGGGTCAACATGGAACCCCACAATGTCTCCAGCGGAAATGGTACTTCCACGGGAGAGAGAGCAAGGGGGAAACGAAAAGAAAACGGCTTATAAGGCCTTTGAGAGCAAGGGAGCAAGGTACGCCTTCACAAGTTATGGGTCGACTTGGTTGGAACCTCACCATGTCGCAAATGGAAATGGTACTGCCACGGGATCAGTCGGGCACAATTGTGAGCTGTGCGCCCTCTCTGCTTCTTTTAAGAGATTAGGTCGGCCGTCGATGGAATCAACAGCAATTATACACTGCTGTGGCACTACTACTACGTAAAGGGAGCAAGTTTTGAGAGAGAGAGAAAAAAAAACATTTTTGAGACGTCTCAAAAGGAATCAACAGCAGTTCTACATTGCTGTGACACTACTACTACATAAAGGGAGCAAGTTTTGAAACACTGCCGGGAGTAAATAACAAAAAAAATCGGGCGGCACTGACACACTCAGACACTGACAAACGGGCGGCACACTCACTCCCAAAAGGGGCGGCACACTCACTGCCGATGGGCGGCACACTCACTGCCAAAAGGGGCGGCACACTCACTCCCAAAAGGGGCGGCACACTCACTGCCAAAAGGGGCGGCACACTCATTCCCAAAGGGGGCGGCACACTCACTGCCAAAAGGGGCGGCACACTCACTCCCAAAAGGGGCGGCACACTCACTGCCAAAAGGGGCGGCACACTCACTCCCAAAAGGGGCGGCATACTCACTGTCAAATGGGCGGCACACACTCTTTACTATATGCACGGCACACTCACAAACTGCCATTTGGGGCGGCACACTCACTGCAAAGTGGGCAGCAGCAGAAACCGGCAGAGCACCCACTCGTCCTTTATCCCCCTTATAGTCGGCTTCATGGACTCGCCTCCAGCCACAGAGGGCTTCAAAGACGTCATGTATGATTTCTCGTGCTGCACGATCTTGTTAAGATCTCTCACTAGCTTGCCAATGGGGGGGAGCTGCCCTTTATGCTGCTCCATGTGGGTCTGCAGGGCAGGGGAAAAGGGCAAGAGGGAAGGCTTTAAAGATGCCATTAACGATTTCTTATTCTGTTGAGCTGCCCTTGATGCTGCTCCATATGGGTCTGCAATCAGGCATGGGGGGACGGACAGGGTTAAGGGTTTAGGGTTTAGGGAGGGAGGGCGCCAGAGCTTCCCATGTGTGATGATGCCTCGTGCTGCACGATCCTGTTGAGATCCCTCACTATTTTGGTGATCGGGGGCACCTGCCCTTGATGCTGCTCCATGTGGGTCTGCGATGAGGAGGCAAGAGGCAATCAGGCACGGGAAATGCGCAAGAGGGAGGGAGTCAGTGCCGCCATGTGTGATGATGCCTCGTGCTGCACGATTCTGTTAAGATCTCTCACTAGCTTGCCAATGGGGGGGAGCTCCCCTTGATGCTGCTCCATGTGGGTCTGCGATGAGGCAGAGGGAAATGCGCATGAGGAAGGGTGACAAGGCTGCCATGTGCGATGATGCCTCGTGCTGCACGATCTTGTTCAATGTTCTCACTGGCTTGCCAATGGGGGGGGGGGGGGGGGGGGCTGCCCTTGATGCTGCTCCATGTGGGTCTGCAATCAGGCACGGGAAATGAGCAAGAGGGAGGGCGGGAGGGGGGCAGAAAGGATACAGGTTTTTCAGGCCCAATCATTCTGGAAACGAGGAGTATCGTTGAAGTCAAAGTTGACTTTTGACTTTTGAGTCGACTCAAAAGTCAACTCGGGAGGGAGGCTGAAAGGATACAGGTTTTTCAGGCCCAATCACCCTGGAAAGGAGGAGCATCGTTGAAGTCAAAACACCAGTGCAGCTCTCACAGCAGCACTCTCTCACACCAACACTCTATCACACCAACACTCTATCACACCAGCACTCTATCACACCAGCACTCTTTCTCACCAGCACTCTTTCTCACCAGCACTCTCTCACACCCACACTCATTCTCTCACACCCACACACACTCACTCTCTCACACCCACACTCAACTCACTCTCACACCACTCACAGCAGCACTCAAACGCTCGAGAACAGCCGTTCATATGAAGCACTTCTGATATACAAGTTTAGTCGCATTGAATTGACTTTTGAGAATTTCCAAAAGACACAGCAGCACTCACAGCAGCACTCACAGCAGCACTCACAGCAGCACTCACAGCAGCACTCACAGCAGCACTCACAGCAGCACTCACAGCAGCACTCACAGCATCACTCACAGCAGCACTCACAGCAGCACTCACAGCAGCACTCACAGCAGCACTCACAGCAGCACTCACAGCAGCACTCACAGCAGCACTCACAGCAGCGCTCACACCCTTACTCACGTTCACGAGCACGAAGCTGTACAGGGAGCACTTTTGACACGTACTTCAGCTGCATTGGACTAAAAAAAAGAATTTCCAAAAGTCACAGCAGCACTCACATCCAGTAGCAGCAAGATTCTCTCACAGCAGCACTCACTCCCTCACAGCAGCACTCACATCCAGTAGCAGCAAGATTCTCTCACAGCAGCACTCACTCCCTCACAGCAGCACTCACATCCAGTAGCAGCAAGATTCTCTCACAGCAGCACTCACTCCCTCACAGCAGCACTCGCCTGCATGATCACGTAGCCGTACACGGCGCACTTCTGAGTCACGTATTTCAGCCGCATCAGCCACGACGCCATCACGGCGGCCGCTCTGCTCTGCTTTGCCCCGCTCCGCTCGCTCGCACGGAAATGAACCCTCCTGTTACTAATACCGGCTTAGCTGCTCGTCAAGTGGTTACACGCCACCATCTGGTGGTTACCAGTCCGCTCTGCTAGCTCGCGTGGAACTGACCCCTCCTGTTACTAATACTGGCTTAGCTGCTCGTCAGGTCAGCTCGTCTGGTGGTTATCGTCTGGTGGTTACACGTCGTCTGCTATTTCAAGACGGCAGCGGTTGAAATCGCTCAACGGTATGATCCTCGAACCGCATTTACGAGCACGCGAAGCAGCAAGAGTAACGATACGGTCGGCAAAGCAGGCGACGCAGCTTCGACGCAGAGTGGCTCTAATGCTCTATTTCTGATTGTATGAGTACGCCAACCACTGCCGAGAAAGAGCGATGCGAGCACGATGATAGTGACGGCAAAGCCTCAGATTCTAGGGTTTTCTACAGAGAAGATACGCAGCAGCAGACGACTGCGAAGCAGATTTGGCGATCGGGTGACGATCGCGCGTTGAATCTACTCGCTAAGAAACGAGCAGCGCGGATATGAGACTACTGCACCCCCTGCTACGCAAACAACCAAGGACAGATGGGGAAGCGAGAAACCATAGCAAGAGGTGTAAGGTGTCCAATCCCTTATTGTCCCCTCTTTCTAAGCCATGTCTATCTAGTTTCCTACGATTAGCAAGGAAAAATCTACCATCGGATTTATTCGAGGGCGCGTTTATAGTCAGCGTGTCATTCGGTGGAGGGGTATTTTTCGTTACAGTTGGAAATGTGGAGACAACCAACATTGTTCTCCTGGGAGTTTTGCAAATGACGGGTGGCAGGAAACGAGAAGAAAGCCGACGGTCGCGAAGGCTAATGAACTGCTTTACGAGCACGGCTACTCAAATTCTCGACAGATGGTTACCACACTGCACAAACGGAAGGTTCAGTGTCTCGAAGTCCCCGAGGCCAGAGTGGAACAATGGACCTGAGAACAAGGCCGTAGATTTCCTTCCCCAGTGAATCCCGCATTACAAGTCGCAGTGATGTTCGGTTGTGCTACTGCTAGGTTGATAACATGGTAAGGTGAAAGTTTATAGGAGTGTCAGTTCCGTGTTTTCAGGAGGCATTTCGGACGGCGTAAGGCAGGTCTAGGCCGCGTAGCCTGAGCGAGTCGCCGACCTGTGAACCATTTAACTGCCAACGACGTAGACTGAGCGAGTAAGTAAGCTCGGAACCATCAGGTTCGTGACGACACCGAGCTAGCCGCGAGGGTTGCGCGGGTGGAGAGAGTAAGAGTGGCCGGAATGCCACGTGACGCTGAGTCAGCGGGAGAGTTTAGAAGCTGAGCGCGCCGGTGCTGCGGGAGAGAGGAGCAGGAGCCTACGAGCCGCGAGCGAGTGGGGGTGGGTAGCAGCGGAGCAGAGAGAGGGAGTGAGGGAGAAAGGGAGTGAGGGAGAAAGGGAGTGAGGGAGAAAGGGCGTGAGGGAGAAAGGGAGCGAGGGAGTGAGTGAGGAATTTCTTGACGGAGCGCTCCAGAAAACACAAGACGAGTGTTAGTGAAGCGAGTGATGGAGAGACGGATATGCTACGGTAGTAGGCTGAGGAGACAGTGTGCGCGGCGGTAGTACCTGAGGTGGTCGTCGCGACTCGCGAGGACTATCGGTGGGAGGCGAGGCCTAGTAGTTCCTCCAGTCGGCGCGCGCGCGACGCGTGACGGACGCAACGTTTTGAGAACACCGCGACGGAATGACCTTTGAGGCTCCTCGAATTTCGGAGGTGCACACTGCTACTACACAGCAACGCATCAGTTACCGTACTACACCCAACCCAGCCACACACGCGCGTGTCCTCGTTTAGATCCCTCCCGTTACAACCACTCCGTCACAATGGGTCCCCTCAGCGATCTACAGTACCTTCTCGAACCTTCGTCGCTCGCGCTCGTCGCAACCGCGCTCGCCGTCGTTCTCCTCTCCGCGTTCCGCGCGCTCGCGCACGACCGTGAATCCGAGCGCCACCGCGATTTGTCCGCTTCCGCCATAACCCTAGACGCGAACCGCGCGCTGCTCCTCCCGCTGGCGAGCTCCGCGTCGCTCCTGCTCATGTTCTACCTCTTCGCGACGGTTTCGCAGCTGGTTACCGCGTTCGCGGCCGTCGCGTCCGCGTCCGCAACCTGCTTCGCGTTATCCCCGTTAGTGGCGTGGTTGAATACGTCCCTGGGGCTGCAGGATCCGTTGATTACTGTACATTTCCCGTCGTTTTCGCTATGGAATGGCCAACGCAGCAACAGCAGCAGCAGCAGCAGCAGCAGCAGCAGCGTCAGTGGCAGCAGCATCAGCAGTAGTAGCAGGGGTGAGGTTGGCAGCTCATTACTAGGCGATGGCGTGAGAGGAAGAGAGAGCAGAAACGGCAGCGAAGGAAACAACAGGAACAGATCGAATTCTTCCACTGGCAAAACCGCCACCAGCGCCACCACAACCAGCACTGGCAGCACAAACAGCAGCACCAACACCACCAACACCCCCAGCACTGACAGCAGCAGCAGCACGGTGTTGGGAGCGGTGACGCGCACGCAGCTGCTGCTGGGAGCGGTCAGTGGAGCACTGGTGCTGAGCTGGCTGGTGTCGGGGTACTGGCTGCTCAACAACGCCCTAGGCGCCGCGATATGTGTTGCGTTTGTCAGCCACGTGCGGCTTCCCAACGTCAAGGTGAGACGGTACCGCTGTAGCACCAAAGTAATTGGTGACCGTGTATCAGTGCTGGTGCTGCCGTGGCTGGTGTCGGGGCACTGGTTGCTTAATAACGCCCTTGGTGCCGCCATCTGTGTTTCTTTCGACAGTCGTGTGCGCCTTCCGAAGGTGAAGGTGAGATGGTAGTGTCAATATGACGTGGTAATCGTTACGTTGTTACCCCTACCTCTCAAATCTATCCCATCCCATCCATCCCTTCCCAGGTCTGTGCCCTCATCCTCGCATGTCTCGTCGCATACATCATCTTCTGGGTGTGTTTCTCCTATTCCACACACATTTGTACACTCTATTCCCCACCTCTTATGCAATCCCCTCCCAGGTCTGCGCCCTCCTCGCGTGCCTATTTGCATACGACAACTTCTGGGTGTTCTTCTCTCGCCCTGCACACTCACACCCAAATCCCACCCATCCACACCTCTCCCCTTCAGGTGTGCGCCCTCCTCCTGGCGTGTCTCTTCGCATACGACATCTTCTGGGTGTTCTTCTATTCCCACACACACGCGTGCACTGCCACCCAGCACACTCACTCACACCCTTTCCCCCACCTCTCATGCCATCCCCTCCCAGGTCTGCGCCCTCCTCCTGGCGTGTCTATTCGCGTATGACATCTTCTGGGTGTTCTTCTATCTCCCACGCTCCTGTATAATCTTCACCCATCTCCACCCAATCACACCCATCCCCTCCCAGGTGTGCGCCCTGCTCCTCGCCTGTCTATTCTCGTACGACATCTTCTGGGTGTTCTTCTCCCACCTACACACACATATATGCATTCCCTATCCCCCACCTCTCACACCCCTCACCCCTCAGGTGTGCGCCCTGCTCCTGGCATGTCTATTCGCGTACGACATCTTCTGGGTGTTCTTCTCCCACCGCTTCTTCGGAACCAACGTGATGCTATCAGTCGCCACGCAGCACGCCCACAACCCCGCCCACTCCGTCGCTCACTCCCTGCACCTGCCCTCTGCTGTAGCAAAGTCGATCGTGAGGGAGATTGAGCTGCCCGTGAAGCTGCTGTTCCCGAGGGACTTATTTGGAGAGCTCAACATCTTTAAAGGAGGAGGGAGAGCGCGGGATTTCATGGTCCTCGGCCTGGGCGATATGGTGAGTTGAGAGAGTCGTGTTTGGAGGTTGGAAGGCCACTCAGTGTCCCACCCACTCCCTGGCTGCGCCTGCCCTCTGCTGTGGCGGCGTCAGTCGCCACGCAGCACGCCCACAACCCCGCCCACTCCGTCGCTCACTCGCTGCACCTTCCCTCTGCTGTAGCAAAGTCGATCGTGAGGGAGATTGAGCTGCCCGTGAAGCTGCTGTTCCCACGGGATCTGTTTGGAGAGTTTGAGGGACTCTGAGGATAGAGGGCGCGGGATTTTCATGGTGCTGGGACTGGGCTGGGCGACATTGTCAATTGCGGTGCGGTAGGCGGGTATGAGGGCTGAGATTCTGGGAATGAGGGTATGGTGAGCGTTGGGTAGCGTGTTTGGAGGCAGGGTGATTGATGCTGCACGCGAAATAACTTCTAATTCCTGTTCTTGAAGTTTCCCATGCCAGCATGCTGCTGGCTCTTGTTCTGTGCGTGGACCAGCACAAGAGGCGGCAGCAGCAGGAAAAGCAGCAGCAGAGGGAGGAGCAGCAGCAGCAAGGGTGGGCAGGCATCGTATAAGAAGTAACAAACAACCTCTCATCCTCCCACCCACCCCTTCCGTTGCAGGCCATACCAGCATGCTGCTGGCTCTTGTGCTGTGCGTGGAGCAGCACAAGAGACGGCAGTAGCAAAGTGGGGAACAGCAGAGTGAGGTGCAGTGCAGCAGCAGCACGGGTCGAGAGGGCGTTTTTAAGTACAAACAACCTCTCCTCTTCCCCTCTCCTCCCCTGCAGGCTATACCAGGCATGCTGCTGGCTCTTGTTTTGTGCGTGGACCAGCACAAGAGGCGGCAGCAGAAGGAGCAGCAGCAGGAGCGGGAACTGGAGGTACTAGAGGCGGGGAAGGGAGGGTAACAGCAGCAGCAAGAGCCACATGAGCCTTCCCATTCACAAAATTCTCAGGAACATTCTGAGCAGCACTCTCAGCAGCAGCAGCACTCTCAGGACATCTTGAGTCGACCTCTACTGGACTCTTCGCCTTCAGCGAGGGAGCGGGAGAAGGGGCAGCTGGGCTACATGTGGGTGGCAGCGGTGGGGTATGCCGTGGGGCTCGTGGCTGCTCTGGCTGCTGGCGTGCTCACCAGATCACCCCAGCCTGCCTTGCTCTACCTGGTATGCAAAGCACACTCCGTTTTATGATTGATATGCTGAGCACACTTCTATCTGCTGGTTGGTATGTCGATGTGCTGTGGGTGCAATTCAGCGGGGTATACCGTGGGGTTCGTGGCTGCTCTCGCTGCTGGCGTGCTCACCAGATCACCCCAACCTGCTCTGCTCTACCTGATATGCTCACCTTTTTTCTACCCTACCTCCCTCCAGGTGCCTTCCACTCTCGGCCCCGTGTCGCTGGTGGAGTGGAGAAGAGGCGAGTTAGCAGATATGTGTTACATGCTACCTCGTGCTCCCTCTCCCTCACCCATTTCCTGTCCTTCTTGCTCCACCATCCCTCCAGGTGCCATCAACTCTCGGCCCCGTGTCGCTGGTGGAGTGGAGAAGAGGTGAGCTGGCAGATTGGAGTTACACACAACCTTTTGCACCCTCCCCCTCGCCCATTCCCTCTCCTCCCTCCTTCTCTCCCAGGTGCCATCAACTCTCGGCCCCGTGTCGCTGGTGGAGTGGAGAAGAGGCGAGCTGGCAGATTGGAGTTACACACAACCTTTTGCACCCTCCCCCTCGCCCATTCCCTCTCCTCCCTCCTTCTCTCCCAGGTGCCATCAACTCTCGGCCCCGTGTCGCTGGTGGAGTGGAGAAGAGGTGAGCTGGCAGATTGGAGTTACACCTTTTGCACCCTCCCCCTCGCCCATTCCCTCTCCTCCCTCCTTCTCTCCCAGGTGCCATCAACTCTCGGCCCCGTGTCGCTGGTGGAGTGGAGAAGAGGCGAGCAGGCAGATTGGAGTTACACACAACCTTTTGCACCCTCCCCCTCGCCCATTCCCTCTCCTCCCTCCTTCTCTCCCAGGTGCCATCAACTCTCGGCCCCGTGTCGCTGGTGGAGTGGAGAAGAGGCGAGCAGGCAGATTGGAGTTACACACAACCTTTTGCACCCTCCCCCTCGCCCATTCCCTCTCCTCCCTCCTTCTCTCCCAGGTGCCATCAACTCTCGGCCCCGTGTCGCTGGTGGAGTGGAGAAGAGGTGAGCTGGCAGATTGGAGTTACACACAACCTTTTGCACCCTCCCCCTCGCCCATTCCCTCTCCTCCCTCCTTCTCTCCCAGGTGCCATCAACTCTCGGCCCCGTGTCGCTGGTGGAGTGGAGAAGAGGTGAGCTGGCAGATTGGAGTTACACACAACCTTTTGCACCCTCCCCCTCGCCCATTCCCTCTCCTCCCTCCTTCTCTCCCAGGTGCCATCAACTCTCGGCCCCGTGTCGCTGGTGGAGTGGAGAAGAGGTGAGCTGGCAGATTGGAGTTACACACAACCTTTTGCACCCTCCCCCTCGCCCATTCCCTCTCCTCCCTCCTTCTCTCCCAGGTGCCATCAACTCTCGGCCCCGTGTCGCTGGTGGAGTGGAGAAGAGGCGAGCTGGCAGATTGGAGTTACACACAACCTTTTGCACCCTCCCCCTCGCCCATTCCCTCTCCTCCCTCCTTCTCTCCCAGGTGCCATCAACTCTCGGCCCCGTGTCGCTGGTGGAGTGGAGAAGAGGTGAGCTGGCAGATTGGAGTTACACCTTTTGCACCCTCCCCCTCGCCCATTCCCTCTCCTCCCTCCTTCTCTCCCAGGTGCCATCAACTCTCGGCCCCGTGTCGCTGGTGGAGTGGAGAAGAGGCGAGCAGGCAGATTGGAGTTACACACAACCTTTTGCACCCTCCCCCTCGCCCATTCCCTCTCCTCCCTCCTTCTCTCCCAGGTGCCATCAACTCTCGGCCCCGTGTCGCTGGTGGAGTGGAGAAGAGGCGAGCAGGCAGATTGGAGTTACACACAACCTTTTGCACCCTCCCCCTCGCCCATTCCCTCTCCTCCCTCCTTCTCTCCCAGGTGCCATCAACTCTCGGCCCCGTGTCGCTGGTGGAGTGGAGAAGAGGTGAGCTGGCAGATTGGAGTTACACACAACCTTTTGCACCCTCCCCCTCGCCCATTCCCTCTCCTCCCTCCTTCTCTCCCAGGTGCCATCAACTCTCGGCCCCGTGTCGCTGGTGGAGTGGAGAAGAGGTGAGCTGGCAGATTGGAGTTACACACAACCTTTTGCACCCTCCCCCTCGCCCATTCCCTCTCCTCCCTCCTTCTCTCCCAGGTGCCATCAACTCTCGGCCCCGTGTCGCTGGTGGAGTGGAGAAGAGGTGAGCTGGCAGATTGGAGTTACACACAACCTTTTGCACCCTCCCCCTCGCCCATTCCCTCTCCTCCCTCCTTCTCTCCCAGGTGCCATCAACTCTCGGCCCCGTGTCGCTGGTGGAGTGGAGAAGAGGTGAGCTGGCAGATTGGAGTTACACACAACCTTTTGCACCCTCCCCCTCGCCCATTCCCTCTCCTCCCTCCTTCTCTCCCAGGTGCCATCAACTCTCGGCCCCGTGTCGCTGGTGGAGTGGAGAAGAGGTGAGCTGGCAGATTGGAGTTACACACAACCTTTTGCACCCTCCCCCTCGCCCATTCCCTCTCCTCCCTCCTTCTCTCCCAGGTGCCATCAACTCTCGGCCTCGTGTCGCTGGTGGAGTGGAGAAGAGGTGAGCTGGCAGATTGGAGTTACACACAACCTTTTGCACCCTCCCCCTCGCCCATTCCCTCTCCTCCCTCCTTCTCTCCCAGGTGCCATCAACTCTCGGCCCCATGTCGCTGGTGGCGTGGAGAAGAGGTGAGCTGGCAGATTGGAGTTACACACAACCTTTTGCACCCTCCCCCTCGCCCATTCCCTCTCCTCCCTCCTTCTCTCCCAGGTGCCATCAACTCTCGGCCCCGTGTCGCTGGTGGCGTGGAGAAGAGGTGAGCTGGCAGATTGGAGTTACACACAATTTTTTGCACCCTCCCCCTCGCCCATTCCCTCTCCTCCCTCCTCTCCCAGGTGCCATCAACTCTCGGCCCAGTGTCGCTGGTGGCGTGGAGAAGGGGCGAGCTGGCAGATTGGAGTTACATGCTACCTCTTGCCCCCCCCCCCCTCCCATCTCGTCCTGCCCTTATCTCCCCTCTCCTACCTCCACCCTCCCATCACCCGCCCTCCCACCAGGTTCCTTCAACTCTCGGCCCCGTGTCGCTGGTGGCGTGGAGAAGAGGCGAGTTGGCAGATCTGTGGGACGGCTCGCCTGGCCTCATGCCGTTCGATCGGGACAAGCTGGAAACGCTGGATGTCTGACTAGCAAGCGAGCTGGATTTGAGTCAACGCGGACGTCACCTCTCTGACTGGGACAAGCTCGAAACCCTTGGCGTCTGAATAGTGAATTCTTGAACACCAACTCTTCATTGTAGTTGTGGCATGGAGAAGTGGCGAGTTGGCAGATCTGTGGGACGGCTCGCCTGGCCTCATGCCCTTCGATCGGGACAAGCTTGAAACGCTGGATGTTTGACTGGCGAGAGGGATCTGATTTGAGTCGACAAAACACAGGCTCAAACACCATCTCCCCGTGCTTCTAGTGGCGTGAAAAGGAGCTGGCATGAGATTTGCCGGGGCTGGCAGTCGTGTAGGGCTGTCAAATGTTGTTATAGGTTCTTAGGCTACAATGAGTAGCACTCTAGGGAGTACAACACTTTTAGGGTTGTTATTTGTATCCCTTGCTTCCCTAGTTCAATCATTCCGTTGTGCACGTTTCTTGAGATGGTATCAGTTAGGTTCGTTTCCTAGCCTAGCCTAGCCCGTGTTCGCGCCCTCCGCGCCCTAGCGCCCTCCGCACCCTCCGCGCCCTAGATCCCTCCGCGCCCTAGCGCCCTCCGCGCCCTAGATCCCTTCGCGCCCTAGCGCCCTCCGCGCCCTCAGCACCCTAGCGCCCTCCGCGCCCTCCGCGCCTAGCCTGCGGATTCGCCAGCGCCCGAGTCTCAGAATAGGAATGCAACGGAATACTTGAAACTAGAAAGTGTGAGAGTACAAATATGCATCCCTAACAACTGTACTCCCTATTGTGCTACTCACTGTAGCCTACAAGCATAGCATTACATTTGACACACCCCCATAGGCTAAGTGAGGGGCATCAAAGCAAGCAAGGTGAACAAACGGTCACAAGACCAGTCAAAGCAAGAAACAAGGAAAGCTCAGGGTGGATCTCAAGGACACCACACAAATTCCGAGCGCAAGCAAGCGGCCACAAGGCCAGTTCAAGAGTTCACTAGGATATAAATAGGAAGCACAACAAGCAGAGCAAACAACAAGACTACAGCAACCGAGGGCCTACCTCAACAAGCCCCAACTGCACACAGAACCTGTGGTGATCACCAAGCGCCAAGGCCTTGGTGAAGACGTCTGCAGTGTTGGCCTCTGAGGCCACAAAGTCCAGGCGTGCCTGGCCGCGTCGCTGCAGCTCTCGCAGGAGGAAGTACCTCACGTCAATATGCTTCACTCTGCTCTCCAGTCGAGGCTCTCGACATAGGAGGATCATGGCCTTGTTGTCAGCGTACAAGGTCGGTGCAGAGCGAGGCCTCTCACCAAGGTCGGCGAGCAAGAAGGTCAACCAGCGAAGCTCCTGTGCCGCCATGGCACCAGCGTAGATCTCTGCCTCTGCACTGGAAGTAGCCACAGACGACGACCGTGTAGACCTCCACGACACAGCACCAGCTCCCAGACTGAAGCAGTAACCCTGAGTCGAACGCTGAGTCTCCACGTCGTTAGCGTAGGAAGATTCGCAGTGACCAGTCAACGCCACTGGCTGAGTCCCTCCAAGCACAAGCCCCATGCCTGATGTAGTCGCCAGGTACTTCGCCACCCTCACAGCAGCTGTCCAGTGGACAGGACGGTGTCTCCCAGTCGCAACAAAGTGAGAGAGGACGCTGAGGGGAAAGGCGAGGTCCGGCCGAGTACAAGTCATCAGGTACATGAGGCAGCCCACCAGCTCTGCGTAGGGACCACTGGACTCAAAAGGCTCGTCGGGAAAGGGGCCAGTGAGTCTGTGGTCAACAGCAAGAGGAGTGGGCTGTGTGGTGGAGAACTGGAAGTCGAACCGCCGAAGGACCTGCTGCACCATGTGTGACTGCGTCAGTGTGATGGTACGAGCGGCTCTGTCCCGGGTGATCTGCAAGCCAAGGTAACGCTGCAGCTCACCCAGGTCAGTGCACTTGTGTCTCTTCTGCAGTTCGAACTTCACCTGAGCCAGGGCTGCCCTGTCTGCTGTAGCAAACACCAAGTCGTCGACGTAGACAAGGATAAAGAAAGGAGTAGAACCCGCTCGAACAAACAGCGACGAGTCGGCGGAGGACGGGCAGAACCCAAGGTCACGAAGCGTGGAGCGAAGAGTGTCGTGCCACTCACGGGGCGACTGGCGGAGACCGTAGACCGGTCGCCTCAGGCTCCACTGGGTCCCAGGTGGGAAGGTGTCAGTGAAGCCAGGAGGACGGCGCAGCCAGATCTCCTCGTGCAGTCGGCCCTGGAGGAACGCAGTGGAGAAGTCGAGGGAGTGCAGCTCGTAGTCTCGCTGCGCTGATATGTGGAGTAACACCCGAAGAGTAGTCATCTTCGGGGTCGGGGCGAAGGTCTGGAAGAAGTCAACTCCCTCACGCTGACTGAAGCCCCTAGCCACGTAGCGCGCCTTGAACACCGGCGGTGCTCCAGGCGGCCGCTTCAACTTGAAGAGCCACATGCCATCGACTACGTTCGCCCTGGGAGGGGGAACTGCGTCGACGTAGGTGCCTGTGGATCTCCAAGACGCCAACTCTGAGTCCATAGCCGCTTTCCTCTGAGAGGCCCACGCCCCTGACACTGCCTCGCGGTAAGTGCGAGGAGTCGGTATGTCAAGGGCGTCGGGGTCTCCCTCAGGGGAGAGCAGCATGGCACACACAGAGGGAGAAGCGGCTGCCCAGTACTCCAGCTCAGACTCTCTGTCCTCTAGGACGTCACAGCTAAGGGCAAACTCACCCCCGACGGACAGAGGACGGTAGGGAGGAGCGGGCACCACACGGGTGGCGTAGTCAAGGCGGCTGGCGGCAGCAAACTCAGCGACAGCGGCAGTGAGAGCAGAGACCGACGACGGAGGGAAACGAGAGTCGGTGACAAGAGTGGCGAGGACACGTGCGGCAACAGGACGAACAGTGCGGTAGTAGTCAGTGATGGGAGTGGGGAGGGCTGGGAGAGAGGACGGAGGAGGAGACGGGAGAACGGACACAGGAGAAGGAGAACGACGACGAGACGTACAAAGGAGGGCAGTGTGGAGGTCAGTAACAGGGGACGAGTGACGAGCACGCGGAGGACAACGAGTGACCAAGTCGCGACGGACCAAAGGAGGAGGAGACTGGGGAGGAGGAGAAGACCAGACCGCCGGACGGTCGTCAGGAGGAGGCAACGGAGGAACAAACACAGGAGGAGAGGAGGAAAAGCCAAGGGCCCGCAGGCCACTCACAGGTGGGAACAACTGCCGCTCCAGAGGAAGCTGCGGTGGCGGCTGCGGCTGCTGCTGCTGCGGCGGCGGCTGCGGCTGCGGCTGCTGCTGCTGCGGCTGCTGCTGTGGCTGCTGCTGCTGCTGCTGCCGCTGCTGCTGCTGCCGCTGCTGCTCCAGAAGGTCCAGCACCCGCAGCTCCTGCCGCTCCCTCTCCAACCGCTCCTGCTCCTCACCCTCACGCCGGCGGGCAGCCTGGAGTCGTGTGTCGTGGCGGTGGGGAGGCGGAGTGGACTCCGTAGAACCAGGGTCAGACTCCTCAGACTCAGCACCCCCAGAACCAGCACCTCCAGTGCCAGGACCTCCAACTCCAGCACCCCCAGAACTAGCACCACCAGTGCCAGCACCTCCAGCTCCAGCACCCCCAGAGCTAGCGCCACCTGCGCCAGCACCTCCAGCTCCAGCACCCCCAGAGCTAGCGCCACCTGCGCCAGCACCTCCAGCTCCAGCACCCCCAGAGCTAGCGCCACCTGCGCCAGCACCTCCAGCTCCAGCACCCCCAGAGCTAGCGCCACCTGCGCCAGCACCTCCAGCTCCAGCACCCCCAGAGCTAGCGCCACCTGCGCCAGCACCTCCAGCTCCAGCACCCCGCGACCGAGTACCCCCAGACCTAGCACCGCCAGTGGCTGCACCTCCAGCTCCAACACCAACCGAGTCCACAGTAACCTGTCGCGGAAGTGCCGAAGGCTGCTGAGGGGACTGTGAGGAGGACTGCGGGGAGGGAGACGCTACCTGACGCGCGACCGAGGGTAGAGGGGTAACGTGGGACACACCAGACGGGGCAGGACCAGGGGGGGGCGGGGGTACCGGAGGAGCGGGAGCAGGAGGAGGAGAGGGTGCGAGGAAAAGAGGGGGAGGGGGTACCGGGAGACCTCGACAGGGGTACCGGGTGTAGTAGGACACGGACTCGTCAAACCGGACGTCACGGGAGTCTAGGAAGTGGTGGAGGGGAGGGTGGTAAAAGGACCAGTCGGCAGAGTCCACTGGGAAACCAAGGAAGACACAGGGGACGGCGCGTGCCGAGAGCTTGTCCGCGGAGGTGTCGCGAACAAGTGCAAGGCAGCCCCAGACTCGAAAGGCCGACCCGACACCAGGGGAACCAGTCCAAAGACTGGTCGGTGAAACCTCGGGCCGCGAGACACGCGGCTGGAGGTTCAGCTGGTGTGCGGCGTAGCGAACCGCGTGGGGCCACAGAAAATGGGGCGCACGGGCATGGATCATGGACGTGCGGGCGATGTCCATGACCAAGCCTATGCGGCGCTCAGCAACCCCATTCTGCTGTGGGGACTCTGGCAGCGTCCAGGACTGGGTGATGCCCTGTTCGCCGCAGAATCCGCCGAGAATGCCGCATCATCGCTCCTGAACAACGCATCACCGCATCTCCTGTGGACAGGAAAATTGGGCAACACAAAAATGTTACGAGTGTTCGGTTGCATGGTACAGTACCGACCCCCAGCTGCACGCGCCGGTCGATTCTCCCAACGCGCACAATGGGGACTACACATGGGCATTGAAAAACACTACAACGCGTGGAAGATTTTCGACGTCCACACGAAGGAAACAGTGGCAGCACGTGACGTGATCTTCTACGAACGTCTCACACTTCCAACGTACCTGTACAACTTGGAAACCTCACGCGACGTCACAAGCGGATTTCGTGGGGACCGAGCCTTCGCTTGGGCAGCAGATGAAGCTGACTAGGACGAGCAGAACGTGGACAGAGCTTTGGAAGAAGCCGGACCTCTTCCCTACTGTTCGGTGGATATTCCAATGGACGACG